GACGGATGTACTTGCGCCACGTTTGCCCGACTTCATCCTGGCAGCGAGCGTGGGCATTGGTTCCGGCACCATCCAAAGCGCATGCCTTGGAAGGGAAGGGCTATACGACGCCGTCACGTTTGAGATCGGTTCCCACGCCATCTCCAAGAGGCCCTCCTTGGTGGCCAACATAGGCTCCATGGTCACAGAGATGCCGACACCAGGCCAGCGAAGTCTGGATGTGATGTGTTTCGTCCGCAAAAAAAATGTTGTGTTTCAGTGCTGCCAGCCGCTTACTGTGAACGTCCAAGATGCAAATGGTCTGTGCAGCGAGGTACTCCGGCTTCTTCTTGTGTTTGGGCCTACCTGCTGACCAGCCCGATGTTGTGTGCACCCCAACAAAGGCCCAGAATGTATTGGAGACCATTGCTCAGAATACCCACGTCGAGGACGTGCGCACCCATGGTGCTGCCCTGCTTGGCAGCGAGATTTGCCGCCAGCTGCCTCATGACTGCCTCATCCTTGTGGTACGCAAGTTTGCCGGAATTCATGTGGGCTGGTACACGGCGTTGCTGAAGCAAGAGGCCGTTCAGAATTGTATCGGGAACGAGCACACTGTGGAGGAATTCAGGGAGCAGTAGCAAACCCACAGAGGTTTCATCTTCTTCCACGCATGATGTTGGCAGATGTGATCTTTGGGCAGATGAACACAAGGTGTGGATGCTTGTGTGGCGCCAGGGACGGCTAGGACGGTCAGTTTCTGTCAGGCTGCGTGGTTAGATGATGTTGCGCAGACAATTGGTGGCCTCGTGTCATTCCTGCCAGACAGTACGTGCTCATAAATCTCATAAAGCTCTTCGAGGGGGCGCGGCAGAACAGTTTCCAACTTGCTGGCGTTGTATTTGTGCGTGCTAAAGGCTCCCCCTCTCCTCCCCTCCCTTTTCCCTTACACTTCCCAGTAATCACCACGTAGCTCCGAAGACGAGTTGATGGGTAAGATGTGAACCGAAAAAAGGATCAGCAAAGCAAATGAGAAAGCAACACCCGCCCAAAGGGATCAGCGTCGTCTCTGGCGTCGAGCGTCGATTTGTGCTGAAAATCAACCTCTCAGCTGGAACCTCGCGTTTGGGACCCCCCCCTCAAAGCCATTGTTGTGATTTGCTCGTTGCTTTGATTCTTTTTGGTCGTTAGCTCTTTGTTTTTATCATGTTTTTGGCTGCTCTGGACGCTCTCCCTTGCAAGACTCGTGCCTGAACATGCTACACGTCAGCTCGTGAACGGGGAGGGCGGTGGCGTTTGCGAGGGCCTCGCCAACAACCCAATTCTAACATGCGAAGAAGCTTCAGCTGCTTCTGGTTCTGAATCTTCACAAGCTGTGGCTTTCTTAGCCCTACCGCAGACACTCGCAAACTGATCCGTACTTCTTCAGTACATGTTGCTAGAGAAGCACAGCGCCAATACCAGAGTCGCATCAGCAGTATGCTATGACTCAGCAGCGAGGAAACAAAGAGGTTAAGTGTGGTGGACGAAGCCCCGGAGCTGCGGCACCATAAGGAGAGGAATGGTCAACCTACCTGTCCAGTGTGTAACCTTTGACCTTTTCCCCAGCAGCGGATATGATTCTGAGATCCGCAAGCTGCAAAGCAAAGGCGCGGTGCCTAAGTTTTGGTTGACGGGTTTCAGAAAGCGTGCTGCTTGCGGAAACTACTGATTCTCATGCCGGCATATCTCCGGTCGTTCACGGGGTCAGAAGGGGGTCAAGGACACCCAAGGGTCGGCTGCTAAAAACCTAAACCCCGAAATTCCTGAACCCCAAACCCCTAAACCCCCAGACCCCCAAACCCCTATGAGCCCCTGAACCCCCTAAACCCCCAAACCCCTGACCCCCAAACCCCTATAAGCCCCTGAACCCCGAAACCCCCAAACCCCTGAACCCCTGAACCCTGGGCCCCATAAAATGGCCCTGAACCCCAAATCCTAAACCCTCAACCCTAAACCCCTTAAACTCACATCCAAGGAGACGTCTTGGTTGGCACAAGCGCTGGCCGGGGGTTCTGGCTTATGAGGTTTATGGGTGGCAGGCCGAGGCTGTGATATTGTTGTTGCTTTCGGGGTTTGGGTTTAAGGTTTCGGGTTTAGGGTTTAGAGTTTAGGGTTTAGGGTTGAGGGTTTAGGGCTTCGGGTTTGGGGTTAAGGGTAAAGGGTTTAAGGTTCTGGGTTGGTGCTTGCAAAGCCTTACATGCTGCCCTGATACCGGAGCCGAAGCAGAAAGAAGCGAAAAGACGCCCATAAACCCTAAACCCTAAACCCTAAACCCTTCTAAAGCGCTGTGCAGTGTCTCTTGCACCCTTTGCTCCGTTCGCCATAGAAAGTCTCGAAAACGGCGCAGGATGAGACGATCAAAGAAGCGCTTCCCCGCAAAATATTACTAGGGTGCAAAGATAGACACCTAAATCCTAAACACTAAACCCTAAACCCTGCAAGTCATGAACTTGTCAGGCCCGCGGTTAAACCCTTGAGATTTAGGTACTTGGGGACTCGGGAAGGAGGTAGAAACCCAAAAAGCCCTCAAAAGCCACAAAAATCTGGGTTTAGGGTTTAGGGTGTAGGGTTTAGGGATTGAAGAAAAAGGTTAGGGTCTTTAAGGAAAAGCTTGCCTTAAAGTGCTCACCCGTGCTCCCTGAATCCTCAATCTCAAGTTGGCCGTGCTCCTTGCAAGGCGAGCCGAAACCCTAAGCCCTAAACCCTAAACCCTAAGCCCTAAACCCCAAACCCTGAACCTCAAAAAGGGTGCCATGCTCCTTGCAAGGCGAGCCTGAAAACGAGCTCCTTGACCTGTCAGGAGCCTGCCTCGGCTTTTTGGGACACATGAGGGGCCCTCACAGAAGTTGAGGCTTCGGAGGGGCTTTGGACCCCTAAACCCTAAGCCCTAACCCTAAACCCTAAACCTTAAACCTTAAACCCTAAACCCTAAACCCTAAACCCTAAACCCTAAACCCTAAGCCCTAAGCCCTAAGCCCTAAACCCTAAACCCTAAACCCTAAACCCTAAACCCTAAACCCAAACCCTAAACCCTAAACCCTAAACGTTAGGGTTTCTCTGAAGGCCTGAACACTAAACCGCGATTTGTTGGGATGGCTCTTTGGGTCTGAGAGGCTCCGGGTTAAATTGCTCACCTTTAGAGTTCAGGCTCTGGGGGTTTGGGGTTTGGGGTTTGGGGTTTAGGGTTTAGGGTTTATAGGGTTTATAGGGTTTATAGGGTTTATAGGGTTTATAGGGTTTAGGGTTTAGGGTTTAGGGGCTTCCCTTTGTAGGGGTTTAGGGCTGAGGGCTTTGCAGGCATTTAGACTTCGTTTCGATGCTTTAGGGAGGTTGGGGTCTAGGGTTGATGCGGATCCGAACCCACTCGCAAAAACATCCCCTTTCAAAACCTTTTGTGGTGGGGGGGGAGGGGTGCAGCTCCGTACTTCTCAACAGATGCTCTGGATTTGACACCCCTAAACCCTAAACCCTAAACCTTAAACCTTAAAACCTAAACCCTAAACCCTACGCCTTGAGGTTCATGGGCAGATAAAGGCGTCGGAAGGCGTTCGGGAGATCTTGGGGATGCGCCCACTACGCATTCAGGTTTCTCGACGTAAACGCCCCACAGCGGCGTAGAGTTTAGGGTTGAGGCCGTAGGATTTAGGGCTTCGGCCCCCTAAAGACCGAAGTGAAGAAAGCTCTAAGCCCATTTGGGCCCAGCTGAGCTCAAGAATCCTATTTTGAAGCACTCAACACACCCACACCCAAGCTCTCGAGCCCCCCTAAACTCAGAACCCTAAACCCTAAACCCTAAACCCTAAACCCTAAACCCTAAACCCTACACCTCCCACTTTCCTCCCATCCTTGCAGCTCACGCGGACGGAGAATGCCCCGCCTTTTTTGCCAGAGGGCCCGCTGGGGACCCAGAGCCTTAGGGTTTCAGGCTTGAGGTTCAGGGCTCTCAGGGGGTAAAGGGCACCAAAAAAAACGGGCTTTGGAGGGCTTTGCTGGTTTCCGGGCTTTGGGGGCTGTAAAGGCGACAGGGCTTTAGATGGCTTGAGGGCTTTGGTGCTTGTTAGGGCTTAAGGGACTGAAGTTTTGCTGATTGTTTTGGGGTTTCGGGCTTCTGCGAGGGTGAGTGAGTGGTAAGCACCCTCAGCCTCGAAACCTTAACCCCCGAAATCCTAAAATCCTGAACCCCGAAACACGAAACCCTAGACCCCGAAACCCTAAACCCTAAACCCTAAACCCTAAAGGCTTCAAGGGGTGCTAGGGATGGTGCGAGGGCGTAGGGGGGGGGGGGCCTTGAGGTTCCATGGGATGGGGGGGGGGGGGGGGGCTTCAGTTTAAGGAGCCTGGGTGGGGCTTAGGGTTTAGGGCTTAGGGCTTAGGGTTTAGGGTTTAGGGTTTAGGGCTCAGGGTTTAGGGTTTAGGGTTTAGGGTTTAGGTGGAATGAAGGACAAAGTTGTTACCTGGCGAGGAGCCTTGTTTTGCAATGCTTGCCGTTCTCGCTTGTAACCTGAAATGTGGCCAAGGCAAGGCATGCCATGTTTGAAGCCAATAACTCTAAGAATGGTTCACCACACCCCAAACCCATACCCCTTAACCTATAAATGGAAACTATAAGGGAGTCTAAGGGAGGATATTACCCTTAATTTTTTCAAGGGTATGCCCAAGGGGTATGTTGAATATTTCTTAGAATAACCTAAGCCCAAACCACAAGCAGCCGTGGTATTCTCACATTAGAGTGAAAACACATGGGGGGTTTCCGAAATTAGGGTACCTTATTGGGGGCCTTAATTTAAGTCAATCCTACTTCTTGGGGGGTCTCTATTCGGGGTGCCTTATTTTCGTATACGGTTTAGTGTTTAGTGTTTAGGGTTCTTTGGGGTAGGGGGATGTCCCTTGGTGTATTGCTAGTGATGCCGGCCCAGCAAGTCAGCGTGATTCTTACCTCAACCCCTAAACCCCTAACCCCTAAACCCCCTAAAGCTGAAAACCTCTAAACCCCCAAACCCCAAGATCCGAAACCCTGCACCACCAAACCCTACTCATACCCCGGCCCCACACCCTGAACCCTGAACCCTAAAACCCAAAGCCTAAACCCCTAAACCCCAAACCCCAAACCCTAAACCCCAAACCCCAAACCCTAAACCCTAAACCCTAAACCCTAAACCCTAAACCCTAAACCCTAAACCCTAAACCCTAAACCCTAAACCCTTTAAACCCTAAACCCTTTAAACCCTAAACCCTAAACCCTAAACCCTAAACCCTAAACCCTAAACCTTCACCTGAGGTTGGGGGAGGTGGAACTGCGCCTCGCGCCGGCATTGGACCCGAAGATCCTCCCGGCCACCGGATCCAGGGGAAGGGAAGGGAAGAGTTTAGGGTGTAGGGTTTAGGGTTTAGGGTTTAGGGTTTAGGGTTTGGAGCGTTTGGGGAGGGTTTTGCGGGTTTAAGGTTTGGGAGGTGTTAGGAGTTGTTTCGGAGTGGGGGGGGTGGATGCCGCTGATGCATCAACAGCAGGTGCAAAGCAGTACGTGGTGGTGGATACTGCCGAGCCCGTGGCACCGTTGTTTGCCTCGACTACTGGAGGGCCAGGCAGCGCCAACACACA